AACAAAACAACAAAACGATACGTAAAGTCTAAAGGTTCACCAACACAAACCTATACAGAACAAGATCCCACAATCAACTGTGCAAAACAGGCTGCCTAAGTATAATTCCCAATCAGAGACAACGAGCAACAGCTGCCTCTGATCGGGAACCACCCTGGCCAACATAGATCTAAACGATCTAGACAGAAAACAAGGACAACTAAACATAGGAACTAACACCCTGGCTCAACATTAAAGAGTCCCCAGAGCCAGGGCGTGACAGTACCCCCCCCCCAAAGGCGCGGACTGCGACCGCGCCAACCAAACACCACAGGGGAGGGGCCAGGTGGGCATTCCGCCTCGGAGGCGGATCCGGCTCCGGGCGTGACCACCACTCTCTCTCTCACCCTCGTGGTCTGGCCCTGCTGGCCGGAGCTGGATTGAACACCGGTGGAGCGGATTGCTCTGGCTCCGGCGTGGAGCAGCTGACCGGTGCCGGACCAGGCACAGGTGGAACAGGCACGGACCGTGCTGGACTGACGATGCGCACCACTGGCTTGGTGCGGGGAGCGGGAACGGGCCGGCCCGGGCTGACGGGCTTGGTGCGGGGAGCAGGAACGGGCCGGACCGGGCTGACGACGCGCACCACTGGCTTGGTGCGGGGAGCAGGAACAGGCCGAACCGGGCTGGCGACGCGCACCACTGGCTTGGTGCGGGGAGCAGGAACAGGCCGGACCGGGCTGGCGACACGCACCACAGGCTTGGTGCGGGGAGCAGGAACGGGCCGGACCGGGCTGGCGACGCGCACCCCTGGCCTGGTGCGGGGAGCAGGAACAGGCTGGACCGGGCTGGCGACGCGCACCACAGGCTTGGTGCGAGGGGCAGGAACAGGCTGGACCGGGCTGGCGACGCGCACCACAGGCTTGGTGCGGGGAGCAGGAACAGGCCGGACCGGGCTGGCGACGCGCACCACAGGCTTGGTGCGGGGAGCAGGAACAGGCCGGACCGGGCTGGCGACGCGCACCACAGGCTTGGTGCGTGGAGCAGGAACAGGCCGGACCGGGCTGGCGACGCGCACCACAGGCTTGGTGCGTGGAGCAGGAACAGGCCAGACCGGGCTGGCGACGCGCACCACAGCCTTGGTGCGAGGGACAGGAACAGGCCGGACCGTACTTGGAACACACACCACTGGCCTTGTGCAGGGATCAGGAACGGGCCGGACCGGACTGGTAACACACCCCAGTACCTCTCGCCGTGCCTCTACACTCTCCTTCCCCCTCATGACCAATGGCCCCCGTAACCTGGTGGCCTCCTCTCCTAGTCCGCAAACTCGCCCTGTAGCTGCCTCCAGCAGCCCCGTCGTTCATGCCGTGTGCCCCCCCAAAAAAATTACTTGGGGTTGCCTCTCGCCTGTCCGACGACGGCCCGGTTGGCGCCGCTTCTCCTCTCCTGCCTGGGCATCCTCCCTCATCGCCCTCAGGTAGCGGACGGCCTCCTCCTCTGTGATTCTCCCCCAACCGAGGAGGACATCTACCAGAGTAACCTCCTGTTCCATACCCGGCGTTTGCTCCTGCACACGCTGCTTGGTCCTATTTTGGTGGGATCTTCTGTCACGATCGTTGTAAGAGGCAGACCAAGGCGCAGCATGATAGGCGTACATCTTTTAATAGGTACTTTACACCAAACAACAAAACAACAAAACGATACATGAAGTCTAAAGGTTCACCAACACAAACCTATACAGAACAAGATCCCACAATCAACTGTGCAAAACAGGCTGCCTAAGTATGGTTCCAAATCAGAGACAATGAGCAACAGCTGCCTCTGATCGGGAACCACCCTGGCCAACATAGATCTAAACGATCTAGACAGAAAACAAGGACAACTAAACATAGGAACTAACACCCTGGCTCAACATTAAAGAGTCCCCAGAGCCAGGGCGTGACAACCGCTCAGGAAGGAGACGTGTTCTGTCTCCTAGAGATGAACGTACTTTGGTGCGAAAAGTGCAAATCAATCCCAGAACAACAGCAAAGGACCTTGTGAAGATGCTGTAGGAAACAGGTACAAAAGTATCAATATCCACAGTAAAACAAGTCCTATATCGACATAACCTGAAAGGCTGCTCAGCAAGGAAGAAGCCACTGCTCCAAAACCACCATAAAAAAGACAGACTATGGTTTGCAACTGCACATGGGGACAAAGATCGTACTTTTTTGAGAAATGTCCTCTGGTCTGATGAAACAAAAATAGAACTGTTTGGCCATAATGACCATCGTTATGTTTGGAGGAAAAAGGGGGTTGCTTTCAAGCCGAAGAACACCATCCCAACCGTGAAGCACGGGGGTGGCAGCATCATGCTGTGGGGGTGCTTTACTGCAGGAGGGACTGGTGCACTTCACAAAATAGATGGCATCATGAGGAAGGAACATTATGTGGATATATTGAAGCAACATCTCAAGACATCAGTCAGGAAGTTAAAGCTAGGTCGCAAATGGGTCTTCCAAAGTTGTGGCAAAATGGCTTAAGGGCAAGAAAGTCAAGGTATTGGAGTGGCCATCACAAAGCCCTGACCTCAATCCTATAGAAAATGTGTGGGCAGAACTGAAAAAGCATGTGCGAGCAAGGAGGCCTACAAACCTGACTCAGTTACACCAGCTCTGTCAGGAGGAATGGGCCAAAATTCACCCAACTTATTGTGGGAGCTTGTGGAAGGCTACCCAAAATGTTTGACCCAAGTTAAACAATTTAAAGGCAATGCTACCAAATACTAATTGAGTGTATGTAAACCTCTGACCCACTGGGAATGTGATGAAAGAAATAAAAGCTGAAATAAATCATTCTCTCTACTATTATTCTGACATTTCACATTCTTAAAATAAAGTGGTGATCCTAACTGACCTAAGACAGGGAATTATTACTAGGATTAAATGTCAGGAATTGTGAAAAACTGAGTTTAAATGTATTTGGCTAAGGTGTATGTAAACTTCCGACTTCAACTGTATGTTTCGGAATATACTGCAGCCTATCATGGGTCTTCAGGAATGGCAGTGGGCGTGGAGGATTTGATTTCCTCTTTAGAAGTCTAGAACATTATTACCACCAGACCATACACAGACTTAACTGCTGCTATTAGCTAAATTAACAAGTGACCTAATAACGTAATGAGGGTTATGTATGTGACGATATTTTATATAAAAAAAACAGATGACAAAAAGAGATGTTGTGCTCGTGCTACTGCCCATCTATTTAGATCAAGCTCCAGAACATGACGTGAGACTGAACCATTTAATAGATTGCAACATTAATTTAATAAAATAATAATCTGTTGCTCATGTTAATCATGGAAATGACAAGGTCATCTGCTTTCCCTTTTTAAGCTTAGCTAGTTATAATGCCCCCGGCATGCAATTCACCATTACATTTCTGTGGTACAATTAGCATCAGTGACAGATTATTCTCATACCCTCCTAATTATCATGCTGAAGACAGGCTGCCAGAGCTCAATGAGATTAATTGCTCATGGTCTTTTTTCTCTCCGTGCCCCCACAGTCTGACAGATAATGTAATCGAATGCTGCCATATGTTTTAGAGGCTACATTCTCATAACAGTGCATTAGTTTTTAGCTGCACTGTGGGAACATATTTTGTTTTCATACGTTGTTGTGACAAGCATTACAATTAAATATGGCAGTTTAAAAATATACAGTACCAGTCACAAGCTTGGACACACCTACTCATTCCAGGGTCTTTCTTTATTTGTACTATTTTCTACATTGTAGAATAATACTGAAGACATCAAAACTATGAAATAACACATACGGAATCATGTAGTAACCAAAAAAGTGTTAAACAAATCAAAATATATATTTTATATTTGCGTTTCTTCAAAGTAGCCACCGTTTGGAAAAGCATTCCAGGTGACTACCTCATGAAGCTGGTTGAGAGAATGCAATGATGTCATCAAGGCAAATGGTGGCTACTTTGAAGAATCTAAAATATAAAATATATTTTGATTTGTTTAACACTTTTGGTTACTACATGATTCCATATGTGTTATTTCATAGTTTTGATGTCTTCACTATTATTCTACAAGGTAGAAAATATTAAAAATAAAGAAAAACCCTTGAATGAGTAGGTGTGTCCAAACTTTTGACTGGTACTGTATATCTTTTTATGTATAATAATCTGACTAGGCTGTGTGAGTGTGCGCTCCTGCGAGAGAGAGCGAAAGAGACACAGACAGTTTGTAATGCAGGCTCTTATTACAGTTCGGGAATGTCTCTCAAATCATCTTTTAAGCTCTGGAATGTGCAAACTAAACACGATGCTCGCTTGTGATGAAGTGCTAGCAGCTGTTTTTTTGCCCAGTAAGAGGGAAAGAGGTTAGAATATCTTAATTTACTGTGCTGCTGTCCACTGTACCAGTGTTTCCCCTATGAGTTTTTTCAGCAGTGGTGGCAAAGGTAGCGGGAGATTTTTTTTGTAGAATGACTTATGGTGACTTTTTAAAAATACATTCTACTCCAAAATGCATAAAAATTGAAATATGTTGACACCATCTGAAATATAACTGATAAGCGCCACTGCACTGTAGGGAGATGATGTCTGTGCGCTCGTGGCTCTCATTCGGGCCACTGCTCACTCTGTTTGCTACAAATATACATTGTAACTTGTCACTCTGATCTTAAAGGGATAGTGTGAGATTTTGGTAATTAAGCCCTTTTTCAACTTACCAGATGAACTCATGGATACCATTTTTATGTCTCTGTGTGCAGTTTGAATTAATTTGAAGGTAGTTTCACAAACCATTGCTAACTAGCGTTGGCACAATGATTGTAAATGGTTCATCTGACTATGGTAAGTAGAGAAAGGGCTTAATTGCCAAAATTGCACTATCCATTTAAAAGCAAAATTACATTTTTTGGAGTGGTGGCAACCGCTGCTAAATGAATATAGGGGTAACACTGCTGTACTGTATGTTTATTTCCTCTCCTGTGTCTCTGCTCTGGTTGGCAGGCAAGGTGAGGTGGCAAGACTTTGACCAGGACCTATATGTTGGTGCTACGGTGGTGCGGCCGGGGCAGGATCCCTACGCTCGCAACAAGTTCAACCAGGTGGAGAGTGACAAGCTCAGGATGGACCGCGGAGTCCCTGACACTAGACATGACCAGTAAGTCTCCATTCAACCTCTGTCATGGGTGGAATTAAGTAATGAAGAAATGGGAACAGAATGAAATAATTTTCGCTGAATTCCTGATGATTTTACTGCAGTGAGTAGTAGAGTGATTAATCAGTGAACTTGCCCATTAGTAATGTCCTATGGGGAAAAACTGGGAGCTCATGCTGTCATCTGATTATCAGGAGGGCAAAATTAATCAGAGACAGAAGTATATAGTGTACATCTTTCTTGTTCCTCCCCCTTAACACTTAACAGGGTTTCTTCTGATGGTGCCTCAATATAACCTAACTAAACCTCACAATAACACTGGACAGTCTAGCAGAGACCTCTGGCATGATCATCTGAAGCTCCCAATTGGCTCGCTCACTCACTATCTTATTTTCAAAGACAAACTGCTCAAAGATCAAAGTAAGTGCAGGTCCTCTGGGAAAAATACAGGCGTATAGATGGCTTATTGTGGGGGGCACGATGGTAGATTGATAGTGAGTTACACTTCCATTTTCTTCCTTGTTGGAGCAGTTGATGATGACTCGATGGTGCCTGTAGTTCTTTATACAACGGGTGGGCCTAATCCTGGATGCTGATTGGTTAAAACCGCATTCCAGCCGGTGTCTATTCCACAAGTTACCACCGGCTAAATCTATGCCGTTGATTTCTTTTAGACTAGCATTTGATTTTCAATATTGAAATTTGATCTCCAGCTGTCCCATAGTAATTAAAGTATCGGGACGAGACAGACAGGCAGGCAGCTTTTCTCAGTCAGTCGAAATCATGAATCAGCTGGCATCATTTTTATGGATATATACAAAGAAAATGTCAATAGAAAAATGAAATGAAGTGCAGCTAGTTTGATGTCTTTCCAGCTTCAGTTTGAAGTGATTGTGTTAGGTGTGTTGTTGGCCAGCTCCTCTGAACAACAGTGTCCTGACGAGAGTGCACATTTTCTATGCTAGGCGAAATCGTTCATCATTATCTCATTGTTATGCGTGTATCCAAGTAAATGTCACTAGAAAACAGCTTAAACAAATGCAAATGCAGCTACTTTGCTGATATTCTGGCTGTGCTGTTTGACGTGACTGTAAGTTAGCTGTAGTTAGCTAGCTAGCAAGCCAGGGATAAGGACTATATCTTGTGGAAGGATTAAATAGTATGAATAAATTCATCAAAAAAACATTTTTTATGAAAATATGTAAATCATTATTTGAATATGTTGGTAATCCATTGTATAAAAGTGATAATGCCCTCGAAGCTGATGTTTGGAGAATATATTGGCACGGTTTGCTGGCCCTTGACTTAGTCTCGGCCTAACAACACCCGTGCCAATATATCCTCCAAACACCGGCATCGAGGGCATTATCAGTTAATTGAGGTCCAACGATGTCAATGTCCTGCTTGATTTATGTCTGTGGATGGGCCAGGTCAATAGAGCTTAGATGGATACTCCAGAGAGAACCTTCAGATAACAGGAAGCCCACTCTGGAAGAGCTTCATCCATCATCCCTGTCAGTTTAACATATTCATCTCACTCTCATCATCCAGTTAGAGAATCACTGCTTTTTTATTTGCCCGGGGAGCCTCTGTGGCCCCTCTCTTATACCCTCGGATTTCCATAACGTTTGAATATCGGACAATGCAAAGCGAATTAGCATGAGATTTATCTTCATGCGTGTAATGGATTCTTTATCTCTTTGGGAGGGTGTACATGGCCAAGTGGGTCGTTTTGTGAGGGAAATGGCTGTGACTAAGGCAGGTGCCCAGGGACTTCCCCAATAGTGCAATATCAGATTGATGGAAGTGCCCCTTTTTATCTCTGATGCCCAGTCATCCACCACTGCTTTGGGTATTCTGAGGTTGAGGCCTTTTGGCCCTGTGGCACACAGCTTGTTACAAGAGAAAATATCGAAGAGAGTGAAGGGGTGGCATGGGGCAGGATGATCCATCAAAGTGGATACAATTGACAAGGGACAGGTTGTGGAAGAGTGGGGGAGCACAGAGGCCAATGTGTTGGAATGCTAATGAGAGGGAGCGGTCGGTGGCTGTAACAAAGTGGCTTTCCCTCTGGCATTCTGATTAATGTTTTCAGGGGGCCCAGGAGTCGCCCCTGCTCCTCTGGTCGTCAACTTTATTTGCCACATTGGTACCCTCATGTCAGCCCGAGGAGCGATGCTCAAAGGTACAATTGATTATCCTGTGGCCTTCCCCCCTGTGCTCCCTGGGACCTGGAGCACTATCCCTGCCCAGATATCAGGATAGGAGGGCCAAATCCATATGTCATGAGTAAGTCTGAACGTTGTGGTTTTGGGCCTCAGCAGTGGATTGAAATGTCTACTACTCCTGTCTGGTATAGGTACAGGAGTTTTCCCTATAGGGCTTGTGTATGTTGACTCATAAGATTACACCACTGATTTCTGGCAGGTTTTCGTGCTATTTTCCTGATACTCTACACAGCATGGACCAAATATGACATTGGCCAGATGTAGCAGGCATTGAAACAATGTTGATTTAGCTACAATATAACATCTGATCAATATTCTGTTGACTGCAGTGTTCTTCAGTGGCCACAAATGAATATATTCAGCTAAGCATTTCTGCCACTCTGTGAAAACACTTTCTCCTGCTTTCCCATCCGGCTGATGCAAATATAATAGTGGGTGGGCACTGGGCGGTAAACAAAACAAAAATCTCTGGAAGTCGATCCATATTTATAAGTCATTGCCGTCTGCAATTAAAGCCTGATTATTCAAAAGCATGATTATGGTATGGGTGTGAGTAAAATATGTATTTGTGTGTCACTCACAGCAGTCTAGACAACTGCTCATACTGTACCTGCATATCTAATTGGAATTGGGCAATCGTTCAGTTGACAGTAACATATGTAAAATGGCCATTTTTAACCATCCACAGGTTTGATCATCATTTTCTCTCCATAATGATTTATTTTCCTGTTCATTTCTCATGACATTTTTGCTGGTCTTGGACAAACATTCTTGTTTCTGCATGTACTGGATGAATCAGTAGCTTGTTTACAGTTGTTCCTGGAGCTGCAGGACAAATACATTCCAGTCTAAAAAAATAAGTAAATGGTACTGCTTACATTACATGGTGTTCCCAGAATTAACTTAAAATATCCAATTTAATTACAGATTTTGGAATCACTAGGGAGAGCAGTATAGTATGACTTAATTCACCAGTAAGTAATGGTTTGGGGAGGCCTGTGGTGTTCTTAGCTAACACAGAGCTCACCATCTCTCATTATCGTCTGTGGGTCCCACTAGCAAAAGAGCCTGGAGTTTGATGTTACTCAACTCTGTCTCCACAAAGACCTTAAAGACCCCTTAAAATACCTAAATATGCTCTCGGAGTTGTAGCATGTGACTACTATCTCATTCATGTGTCATACACTAAGCATTTAGCCACATCACCATACTGTACATAGGTCTCCTGTGAGCGCCTGTGGTTTATGACTGGGGCGAGTATGCAGGAAGTCTTGTCAGGAAGGTCTGTGTCCGAGCACAGGCTTCCTATTGATCCTTTGACAAGTCTGCCCATACTTTGTCAGGAGTTGTAGTTCAGTAACTGACGCGTGCTTCTGGCTGTGGTCAGTGCATCTGCAGGAAAGTTCTCCAAATGGAATGCAGGGTCACTTCTACTGCCAATAAAGCAGTCATCTGGAACCAGGCTAAAATATTGCAGTCATCAGGAACCAGGCTGAATGTGAACATCGATATTTCAGCTTTTTGTCTTCTCTCCTCTTGTGTGGATGAGTATTGCGATGAATGCTACAACAACGGCACACCAAATGCCCTCTTTCAGCTTTCACCCTGTCCTGTTAGTTTTAAGAAGGAAATGGGGAAGAATTCACAGTGATTGATTTGTTTATTCCAGGGGTACCGCATTCTGATTTAATTTCCCCTGTGTCTGTAGAGAGCTGTAACTTTTAGGAGGGGATTGAATTGTATCTCTCACCAGTCAATGTGCCAGGTTCACAGTATGTGCTCCAGTGCTGAGGTCTCTGTATACATAGTGGCTGGATATCAGTGCCAGGGGGTGGCACATTGATTTGTTTGCTTCACCAGCTTGGCTCCTCTCACTGTGTGTGTGTGGGTTGAAGTGTGTGGGAGTTAAATCCACGCCGGTTCACTATATATGGCCGTAGTTGTCTGTGTATTTGAATCAGGGATAGGTTTCCTCTGTAGTTGACATTAAAGTAGTTTCTCAATTGATATGATTCTGTGAAAACTATCTTTATTGTACATATTGGTTTCCATGACACTCTACAGGATTAGGCCAGTGTCTTTGAAAGTGTCATGTCTTCTTCACTGAGAATTGAGTTTGAGCTCTCCCAGTGTCTCTGGCTGAAACTGTTGGCATGCGAGTGAAAGAGGACGATTCGGAGGACCATTTCTCAACGGAGCACGTCACGGGTACTTCCTGTTTGAGCTTCTGCTTGTAGACAGGAAGCAGGAGTATAGAGTCATGATCTGATTTTCCGAATGGGGGATGAGGGAGGGCCTTGTATGCTTGCTTGTGGTCTAGGACTTTATCGCCCCTAGTTGCGAAGGAGACGTATTGATGGAAGTTGGGAATTATGTGTCTTAATGACGCAGAATTAAAATCACTGGCAACAAGGAAAGTCGATGCATGGTTTCCTGCTTGTTTATAGCCTAGTACAGCTTGTTAAGTGCCAGCTTGTTGTTTTTCTTGTTCTGAGGTGGAATATATACAGCAGTCACGATAACAGATGAAAACCTTCTCTGGAGGTAGAAGGGGCGGCATTTGACCATCAGGTGTTACAAGACGGATGAACAATGGGTTGAGACTTCCATTGCGCTGGAGTCGGCACACCATTTGCTGTTGATGAAGAGGCATACCACTCCCCCTCTCGATTTCCCTGAATCCAATGTCCTGTCTGCTCTTTGAATGGAGAATCCATTGAGTTGGATATCCATGGGGGGTATTTTGTCCGAAAGCCATGTTTCAGAAAAGCAGAGGATATTGCAGTTATGAGAGTACTGTTGATAGCAAATCCATTTTATTATCAAGAGACTGTACATTGGCCAATAGAATGGAGGGAAAATGTGTCCGGTTTTCCCTTCACCAGGGCTCGCCCTCTCCTGCCTCTTTTTCGCCGGCGTTTCCTTTTGGATAGCCTGAAAATTGGATAGGAATTACACAAAGAGAAGAAATGTTAGTGGATACATGTTGTGCAAAAAGATAAACGACAGAAGAATCACAAAATAGCAAAGTTGGGTCGGAGCTCGCAAGACGACAGCCATACAGTACTGTCTCTGCACTACCTGTGGCTGTCCGTCCAGCACCATCGGACACTTAGGTGGGAGATTCTGCCTCCTCTGATTCTTGTCACAACAGAGCCTTGTGTCTGTTTAAAACCAATCAAAATGGATGCCTTTTATTTCGGTGTCCTTTTTTTGTTGTTGACCATCTTAAATTGCTTGGCTTCTTGACTCTTCAGACAGACCATTAACTTGGATGGCAGGAGGCATGCTGGAGGCCGCTGGTCTTAATTGGAATGTTTTATGTATTGTCTGTTGTCCACCCAGCGGGGACTCTGTAACCGCTGTATGCATTTTGGCCACTCTCTCCAATTCTAATGAAGTGTTCTCAGTGTACACTGCCGGATACATATTTAATGAGAAAGGTGAGCGGGTTACATTATGAAGTGCTGAATGGCGTGCACGCGAGGAGGGCACCAAAGGACCAGGCAGTAGGCTATACAAAGCAACTCGTCAGCTGTGCTTGTTTTTTATATCCCCTCCCTACAGTATCTTGTTACTGACACCTCATTTCTATTACGGAGCTCAGAGGGATCTACATTACATGCCATACATGAAGTATGAAGCCTAATTGTTGTCTGTGCAATGAAAAGGGAGTGCCACAGTTTGTTTGTTTGGTACAGCAAGCCGGTGTCAAGGGCTTGGTTAAGCCGGGGATGGTTTACTAGACTAGTTTACATCCATTTGAAGAACAGAGAAGCAGCCTTCAGCAGGACTTTAATGTGAATGCAGTCCTAAAGGTAATGTGGGTTAGGAATTCAAGTATTTCTATTTTAAATACTTATTTTCTGTGTATTTTAGTATTTTCAAATTATGTGGCCAATTCACCTACTTCTTCTATTTTCAAATAGCCTACTTTTTTCCAAATACATGTCTAATACTCCTAAGACCAACCAGACCTGGGTTCAAATGCATGGGGTATTTAAATATTTGTATTTGAAAATACACTGAGTATTTTCAGTATTTGAGTATGTATTTCAGTATTTTTCTTGGCCCAGATGATACAGTACTCGCTGTGCTCTGTACTGTGTGGACTAGTCCCATAGTTGACCTCTGCTCTGGGAGCTATGAACAGCCATTTTTTGCCTGGAGTGATTCCTGCAAAGGGAGGGTCGTGTCTTGTCTTGTAACTCCTATAGGAAGCATTGATTGACGTCAAAGCCTTACTCTAGTCTTGTCCCTCCATTTCTCCATCTCCTCTCTCTCTCGCTCTCTCTCTCCAAGGAGGCTCGTCGTGGGCACTCTCTGTGTCGATGGCTTTGACGTGGGGAACCGCTGCGCTCTCTCACCCGTACTCAAAGCCGAAGCTGCTGGTGACTGAGCTCTAGCGGATTAGCCCATCTCTGTCATATTGAAATCTTAAGGGTCTGAGCCTCCTTCGCTTAAGCAAGCAAGACTTGCTGTCAATCACATCTTCACCAAACCGTCACAAGAGTGTGTGCAAAATAGAGCCTATTTTTATATAGGTTACAGATAGAATACATTTGTCTGGGCCCGGAGATTTAAACTCCAAAAGCTAGTTATTCAGCCAGCGTATTGGAGCACACAACACCAGCTAACTTTTGTTTCTCTTGTTTAAAGGTAGATAATTGGTCCTTTTTGGCCATTGAGTGTGTTTTCAGTGCCCTAATGAATTTGCGTGTTTTCCTGTCTCCCTCAGCTGCCGGCATAAACAGTGGAAGACCGAGCTGCCTGCTTCTAGTGTGGTCATCACCTTCCACAATGAGGCTCGCTCGGCTCTGCTCCGCACCGTGGTCAGGTGAGCACACACACACACACTAACAGGCTAGGCCTAGAGATACTATCCCGTCTAACACTCTCCTCTGCCGTCCCTCCCTCCCTCCCCCTCCAGTGTTCTTAAGAAGAGTCCCCCGCACCTCGTCAAGGAGATTATCCTGGTGGACGATTACAGCGACAACCGTGAGTTGCTGTTTGATGAGTTGTCATAACTCTCTCTCTTTTGACCTGTGCCTCTGTCACTCTGGATCAGTACTGGCACTGGTTTAGAGGTTCCAGGCCCTTCTCTCCCCCACCACCCGGTCTGTAAACTAAAGCCCCTGTCCTGAACCATCGCAGAGCCTCCCTCCCTCTTAACTCTGGGTGACCCCAATCCTAAGGGCACATGCCTCTTGCTTGGGCTTTGATGGCTGTGCACTCCAGACACTTTAACATGTGGTTTTTTATAGAGGTCTCTTGTTGTACATAGATAGATAGATTGAAGCGACTTTGATCTTTGAGTCGTTCTAGAGTTGTTGTCCGTCAGACAGTGTCTGGGCCACTGAGTAAACCATTAGTCCCGCTTTAAATGAAACCAAACTTTTAAGGCTGAATAAAGTCTTCATAAACCCGTTATAATGCCTATATAGATGTGTATTTGACATGTATAAAGATGGTTTATTTTAGTAACCAAAAGTTTTGTGGTTCAGCTGAGGATGGAGCCTTGTTGGGGAAAATTGAGAAGATCCGGGTTCTTCGAAACGATCGACGAGAAGGTGAGTGGACGAATGGGAAAAGGAATACAACTGCTAGTTGGAAATGAATAGTCAGGCTTCATTCATCATAGTATTTGATGCCCATTTTTATTGACCTTGTCCAACACTGCATGTACCCTAATCAGTGATTTGCCAGTTGTAAAAGCAGAGAAGGATCATTAGGGCTAGGAAAGGGTTTAGAGACTTTAAAACAGAGTCCTGATTGTTAGGTCAATTCTCATGAAAAGCACTGAACAGGTTTATAGGGGCCAATGGGGAGAAAATATACACTCCAAAACAATGAAGAGTTTGTAACAAGCAGAGTATGTTTTTGGAAAGTGCTTTGTGTGCTGTCCAATAGAAAGAACATTGGGCCAAAAATACCTGGCTGCAGTCCTCTGTTCATTATCACTATCTCTACAAAACTGATTATCATTTACAACTCCAAAATAGCACACTGCACCTCTCAACCAACTAAGCATTAATTTGATGATCTAACCTGGGGTCAAAGAAGTTAATATGAGCTAGCACTTCGGCAAAGATGACTTCAAACCAAGTCCATTAAAACATACTAATTAAAAACACTGAGTGTACAAAACATTAAGAACACCTTCGTAATCTTTGACCTCAGAACAGCCTCATTTCTTGGAGCATGGACTCTACAAGGTGTCTAAAGCATTCCACAGGGATGCTGGCCCATGTTGACTCCAATGTTTCCCACAGTTGTATCAAGTTGGCTGGATGTCCTTTGGGTGGTGGACCATTCTTGATACACACAGGACACTGTTGAGCATGAAAAACCCAGCAGTGTTGCAGTTCTTGACACAAACCGGTGCGCCCGGCACCTACTACCATACCCCGTTCAAAGGCACTTAAATCTTGTCTTGCCCATTCACCCTTTGAATGGCACACATAAAGTGGGGGAAAAAAGTATTTAGTCAGCCACCAATTGTGCATGTTCTCCCACTTAAAAAGATGAGAGAGGCCTGTAATTTTCATCATAGGTACACGTCAACTATGACAGACAAATTGAGAAAGAAAATCCAGAAAATCACATTGTAGGATTTTTAATGAATTTATTTGCAAATTATGGTGGAAAATAAGTATTTGGTCACCTACAAACAAGCAAGATTTCTGGCTCTCACAGACCTGTAACTTCTTCTTTAAGAGGCTCCTCTGTCCTCCACTCGTTACCTGTATTAATGGCACCTGTTTGAACTTGTTATCAGTATAAAAGACACCTGTCCACAACCTCAAACAGTCACACTCCAAACTCCACTATGGCCAAGACCAAAGAGCTGTCAAAGGACACCAGAAACAAAATTGTAGACCTGCACCAGGCTGGGAAGACTGAATCTGCAATAGGTAAGCAGCTTGGTTTGAAGAAATCAACTGTGGGAGCAATTATTAGGAAATGGAAGACATACAAGACCACTGATAATCTCCCTCGATCTGGGGTTCCATGCAAGATCTCACCCCGTGGGGTCAAAATGATCACAAGAACGGTGAGCAAAAATCCCAGAACCACACGGGGGGACCTAGTGAATGACCTGCAGAGAGCTGGGACCAAAGTAACAAAGCCTACCATCAGTAACACACTACGCCGCCAGGGACTCAAATCCTGCAGTGCCAGACGTGTCCCCCTGCTTAAGCCTGTACATGTCCAGGCCCGTCTGAAGTTTGCTAGAGTGCATTTGGATGATCCAGAAGAGGATTGGGAGAATGTCATATGGTCAGATGAAACCAAAATAGAACTTTTTGGTAAAAACTCAACTCGTCGTGTTTGGAGGACAAAGAATGCTGAGTTGCATCAAAAGAACACCATACCTACTGTGAAGCATGGGGGTGGAAACATCATGCTTTGGGGCTGTTTTTCTGCAAAGGGACCAGGACGACTGATCCGTGTAAAGGAAAGAATGAATGGGGCCATGTATCGTGAGATTTTGAGTGAAAACCTCCTTCCATCAGCAAGGGCATTGAAGATGAAACGTGGCTGGGTCTTTCAGCATGACGATGATCCCAAACACACCGCCCGGGCAACAAAGGAGTGGCTTCGTAAGAAGCATTTCATGGTCCTGGAGTTGCCTAGCCAGTCTCCAGATCTCAACCCCATAGAAAGTCTTTGGAGGGAGTTGAAAGTCTGTGTTGCCCAGCGACAGCCCCAAAACATCACTGCTCTAGAGGAGATCTGCATGGAGGAATGGGCCAAAATACCAGCAACAGTGTGTGAAAACCTTGTGAAGACTTACAGAAAACGTTTGACCTGTGTCATTGCCAACAAAGGGTATATAACAAAGTATTGAGAAACTTTTGTTATTGACCAAATACTTATTTTCCACCATAATTTGCAAATAAATTCATAAAAAATCCTACAATGTGATTTTCTGGATTTTTTTTCTTCTCATTTTGTCTGTCATAGTTGACGTGTACCTATGATGAATATTACAGCCCTCTCTCATCGTTTTAAGTGGGAGAACTTGCACAATTGGTGGCTGACTAAATACTTTATTTCCCCACTGTATATTCAATCCATGTCTAAATTGTCTCTAGGCTTAAAAATCATTTTTTTAACCTGTCTCCTCCCCTTCATCTACACTGGATTGAACAAGTGACATCAATAAGGGATCATAGCTTTCACCTGGTCAGTCTGTCATGGAAAGACCAGGCGTTCCTAATGTTTTGTACACTCATTGTAGCTATCACATTTATTTAATCATATTTTGGTGATATGCACATCCCAAATGTCAGAGAACCGGTGCTGGGCAACTTAGATAAAGAAATTAGAGGCCTGCATACATATGAATAGCCCTTTGTGTATTTTGTAGATGACATCATGTTGTTGACACTCTCCTCCACAGGTCTGATGAGATCTAGGGTGAGGGGGGCTGACGCAGCCACTGCCAATGTTCTTACCTTCCTGGACAGCCATTGCGAGTGTAACGAACACTGGCTGGAACCGCTGCTGGAGAGAGTGGCTGAGGTCAGTGTGTCCAACAGTCATCCCTGTTATTTAGCCCCGCAGTCAGGGACACTGAAACATACACACACACACCCCTGACATTTAGCACACACACACCAGAACACAGACACTCAGTCACACACCAGAACACAGACACACACCGGAACACACAATGTTTAGCATTGTATTGAAGCTGCAGCCACCGCTGACTTTGGCCTGAGCTCAGACGCTTACCGTTATCGTGTTATTAGCATTTTATCTGCTGGTCACTGCGCTGATCTGTTGAGTTGTGTTGGCAAGTGGAGACAGAGAGAGGAGAGCACACCTGGAGATTTCTCAGACAGGCAGGAAGACAGACAGACATGCATACGCTGACAGATGGGCAGACAGACTGACAGGCAGGGGGGCAGGCGGGCATGCGGGCAGGCAGGCGGACAGAGAGACAGACAGACACACACACACTGACACACTGACAGACGGACAGGCAGGCTGACAGGCAGCCGGACAGAGGGACAGACAGACTGACAGACACACTGATGGATAAACACACTGACAGACATTGGGGATTCAGAGGGGCTGATATGAGCACAGGTAACTCCTGTAGCTCAGTTGGTAGAGCATGGCGCTTGCAACGCCAGGGTTGTGGGGTCGATTCCCACGGGGGGCCAGTATGAAAAATGTATGCACTCACTAACTGTAAGTTGCTCTGGATAAGAGCGTCTGCTAAATGACTAAAATGTAAATGTAAAAATGTAACATTAGACACACTCACTCAAGGTTCTTAAATAGATAGACAGACAGAGGGACAGTTTGGGGTTCAGCCAGGTAGGGTAAACATGACTAGAGTTACTAAAGAATGCAATATCGACGAGCTTTAAGAGTATTACCTACGTGTCACTCAGGTGTGGGGAGGAGCTGCCACACTGTCCGTTAGCAAACAAGTGCATTGCACCAGGACATGCATCCTGTTGGGCACCTGCCCAGCAAGGACAGTTCAAAGAGACAAACACACACACTTGCTAACAAACAAAACAACCCAGCCTTTCAACCCCTCTGAATTTTCCATTCTTTTTTACTGCATACACTTGGCTTCAACACTTGTTTAATGCTGTCTGGTCTGAACACAGTTTAGGAAAAACGAACTAATATGATTTAATGAGCTCTAACTCACCATTGGTTTGACAAAACTTCCATGGAACACAGTCACTGCTGTAGTTCTTTGCTGTTCCATTAAAAGACTTGGAATAGTTCTGAAATGATGCAATCCATCTGATTCACTCATCAAATCATCCACTTCCCTCTTGGAAATCTATTTGTGTTCTGGCTGCGTTAGGCTCATATATTTAAGTACAAATTTGGACAAACGTTTGACTTGCCGTAGATCTGTTTTGGACTAACTTTGTTAAGGCTTTTTTCCAGTGCCTGGTTGTGAAATTATGCAGTGGTTTTACTGAATATTTCAGTCCTTCAGTAATGCTGAGTTCAGATCCAGTGGACTGTCTCTCAATTGGCTTGAATTGAGAGACCACCTACCTCTGTTGCCCCCATGCCCAACCAATAAAAGACTTGGCTTCTTTTGGTTTAAATTAACAGTTTTGGTGGCAGAGGGGCTTGGATGTTGGGAGTCTAGCGAAACACTGTATCTTTGTGTCCCATCTTAATCTCTCTTTACTTCTCCCACAGGACAAAACGCGAGTTGTTTCCCCCATCATCGACGTCATCAACATGGACAACTTCCAGTACGTAGGCGCCTCGGCTGATCTCAAAGGAGGTAAATCCTACTCATCTACGCCAGCAGCTTTCCTTTCCTCTCCAGGGCAGGCTGGCCTTTGGGAAAATCACACTGCAGTTTTCCACTCGGTACCCAATGTCACCTTCTGCCAAAGTCTAGGTTTTTTGGTGTGTGGGTCTGGCTGGCTGACTGGCTGTGCGTGCGCATGTGTGTGAGAGCAAAGAAGAGAATAAGTACGTGACAAATCTTGAAAAGGGGAATGCCCTTTGGAATGGAAACTATTTGATTGATTCGTCTAGGGATATAGGCAGATAACATTAGCACAGTGTCGTTGTGCATTCCCAAGGCTTTTGTGTTCTATAGGGCTTATGAGAAGTGTAATGTACAGCCATAAGAAAATATACGGAATGCCACAGATATGTGATATAATATCTATCAGATAGGCATTGTGTGTGATAGTGTGAGGATATAAGTGTTAGTAGGAATACAATCACATCTAACAACCAGCACAGCTTTTTCCAGTTGTCAAAATGACTCAACTCTTGTTCACTTGAAACCTAATCTGTACCTGGTGTGTGTTTTTGCGCCTCTAGGATTTGATTGGAACCTGGTCTTCAAGTGGGACTATATGACCCTGGAGCAGAGGAGGGCTCGTCAAGGAAACCCCACTGCTCCAATCAAGTAAGCCGCCCTCTGCTCTGTCTGTTCTTTCTGCTGCCCTCTCCTGCCAGCCTCACCTCTACTAATAATTCATAGCCACGCATCTGGGCCCGCTGGAGGAGATGCTGAGGCAGGCAGCATTAGATGTCAGTAGCGTCAGAACTGAGCACTCTGGGGAATACGGGCCAAAGCTCCTCAAAAAGACCCGGAGCCTTTGAGCCTCTGTCCTGTTTTCTCCCTGACATCCACGGTGCTGTATGATATCGGAGAGTGCAGTAAACACAGGCAGAGGTGATTGAAGATGTTCGTATTATCTTATCCAGCTTTGTCTTAAACGGTGTACGGTGATGATAAGGGAGAAGAGGAGATTTGATGGGGATATTGCTGTGAAAGGATATATTTGGTACATTGACCTATTTTGCTGCAATTCCATCGATTGTAGATCAGAAGAGAGGGTAAAACTTTGATTTGTTCAATCAATATGAGGTCACAGAAATGATTCTGTTTTACTAAGTAACCCAATGTCAGAAGCATTCTCAGTAAACCCATTCAATTGTTCCATGGTTTACCAACAGAGGGCAGCATTTCATCGATATCCAAGGCTAGAATATGAATTTGGCTCTTCGTTTCCTATAATTCATGTTGTTCCTCTTCGCTAGGTGATGGTAATTAACCCAAAGGGTAACTCAAGTCATTAACCCAAAGGGTGACTCAAGTAATTTTTCATCATTTGTTTAGTCTGAAATCTTCCACTAGAGCCATGGATTTCCCAAAAGTTCATTTGAGAGAACAACAACAACAGACTTTTGTTCAAGATGCTCATTATGTTTTTCTTCCTTTTTGAAAACAAAATGGCCTCTGAGGAGAAGTGAAGTGTATTATTCCCTCCAGACAGCCAGAGGACAGGACACCACAGCCCCCTGTTGCTGCCGGGTTACAGGGCCAGGCTCTGTGCATCACATGCTGATGACAGAACTGTAGGAGAGCTGAACTTGGCTTGACTTTGCTTAGTCTGTCTCACTGTTTTGTCTTATGGCCCTGACGAACTGTACTTTCTGTCCTACCTCTTTCTCAGGACTCCCATGATTGCCGGCGGACTCTTTGTCATGGACAAGGACTACTTTGAGTTGCTGGGGAAGTACGACATGATGATGGATGTGTGGGGCGGAGAGAATCTAGGTAATAGGACACAGAACACTAGGAACGCTTGAGCTTGTTTGTCATTGTGTGCCGAGGGAGTGGCCCCACTCTGCCTTTTGTTGGATTGGTTTACGATGTCAATATGTCAACTAAGAGTTGAGGAGAGACAGGCTGCATCACTTCTTCTTTTTATAAGAAACATGAATGTGTTGAAAATCCCAAATTGTTTGCATAGTCAATTTACACACAGCTCCAACACACACACTTACTGCACCAGACATGCCACCAGGGGTCTTTTCACAGTCCCCAAATCCAGAACATATTCAAGAAGGTGTACAGTATTATATAGAGCCATTATTGCATGGAACTCCGTTCAGATAAAGCAACACCTCACGGCACAACGTCTCTCCCCTATTTGACCTAGATAGTTTGTGTGTATGTATTGATATGTAGTCAACATGTGCAATTTATACATTTATGTAGTTCTTTCCTTGAGCTGTACTTGTCTATTAAATGTTCTTAATTATGTCATGTTTTGTGTGGACCCCAGGAAGAGTAGCTTCTGCTTTTGCAACAGCTAATGGGGATCCTAATAAAATACCAAATACCAAATATTGACATTGAAGGTACCAACCGTGGGAAGTTATAGCACAGTGAAATGTGACTCTAAAACCTTGCCCTAAACCGTTATATTAATGTGTTTTGTGTTTTGACATTGCAGAGATCTCTTTCCGCGTGTGGCAGTGTGGCGGCAGTCTAGAGATCATTCCCTGCAGTCGAGTGGGACACGTCTTCAGGAAGCAGCACCCATATACCTTTCCTGGGGGCAGTGGCACCGTGTTTGCTAGGTGACTATTTATTGTCCCTGCGATGTGATTTAGACTTGACTAAAGTCTGCCCTCTTCGGTCCAATATGTGTAAAAACCTATTCTACATAGTGTCATATAACAACCAACCAGAGTGATGGTACATTAGGGTTTTGAAATTTGAGCCATAAAGAATGCCCACTGTACAGGCTAACAACTGGTAATTTAGTTATACCACTAACTTTAACTTTACCCTGATTTTGCCCTTAACTTTACCGTTCTCAAAGATCCAATGAAATTCAAGCTGAGGCGGCGGGGCGAATACCTGCTAGCCAATCAAATTACATAACTTGCGGTTGTAGCCCGTAGAGAGCGCCTGTTTCATTCCTCTGAAATTCACATCATAATACCGCTGTTCAAGTCTAGCTGAGCTGCAGTCATTCAAATAGAGGCGCAGTCAGAGCAGAAGCCTCAGCTCTGCTCTCATCTAGGGCCCCGTGTAGCTCAGTTGGTAGAGCATGGCGCTTGCAACGCCAGGGTTGTGGGTTCGATTCCTACGGGGGGCCAGTATGAAAAAATAATAATAATTATGCACTCACTAACTGTAAGTCGCTCTGGATAAGAGCGTCTGCTAAATGACTAAAATGTAAAGAAAAATTACATCTTGGCTTCACCCCTGCAGTGTCAAAACTGTTCCAGTACGCATGGCATCGGGGTGATTCATCAATGCGACGAGAGAGAGCGAACATTCTCTCACTGCCAGTCTGTCACACAGCACTGAAAACCCCACAGATTGCCATGTCTTAGGATGTGTGCTCATATCTCAAAATAGTTTAGAGGATTGTCACTCTCCCCCTGCGTTTTCTGAAGCTTGAACCGCCACATCACTTTCTTTTGCCCTGTTCAAATTATTTTAACAGGCATCCTTCATTGAAGAAATAACAGATATGATCAAATGAATAGGTGCAAGCAGAGGTTCTATAACGTTGCCTATAGTTTTTAGGCTACTGTACCATAACATGATCCAATTATGTCAGACCAGTGATTATTTCAAGGACTGGAAGAAGGACCAGGAAGGACACGTTTTTATAAGTATTCTAACATGGTGTCTATCTGTCTGTCCACAGGAACACGAGGCGAGCAGCAGAGGTGTGGATGGACGAGTTTAAGAACTTCTACTACGCCGCTGTGCCCTCGGCCCGAAACGTGCCCTATGGCAAGTAAGTGTCCTTTCAGACACCCTTCTTCCCATGATGGCATCGCAGACGGCCCTGCTGTCCTTGTATAGAATATCAAAACACATTTCCCTTTTTCTGACACCTACAGAATGTCAGATAGTACACCGTGAGTTATAATATGATGTACTCTGTTCTTTGATGTAGTGATCTCAGTTGCCTCCAAATGTCATGCTGCTGCTGTCTATCTCTCTGAGATGGCTGGTAATTAGATGAGTCATGGGTTTCCCCTCTATTTGTCTGGCAGCATTCAGAGCAGAATGGAGATGAAGAAGAGGCTGGGCTGCCAGCCATTTAAGTGGTACCTGGAGAACGTGTACCCTGAGCTGCGGTGAGTAGAGAGACCACAGTGGACCAGCAATAAATTGCTTTGAAAACGGCCAAAGTTGAATGGAAAGACATAGCTGTTGACTGTGTTTCCCCTACCATTGTATAGGCGGGACAGACTTTGGGGGCCTTTGTGCGCCACTTGGAAATTAAACTAGGGGAAAGACTGCGGTGGGTGGCATATACCCACATCTTGTGATTTGACATCCCCTTGACTTGTGGTGTGTGTCTGGCCCTTCAGGGTCCCTGACCATCAGGACATTGCCTTCGGCGCTCTGCAGCAGGGAGGTAACTGCTTAGACACGCTGGGACACTTTGCAGACGGAGTGGTGGGGGTCTACGAATGCCACAACGCTGGGGGAAATCAGGTATCATTCAGGGCTCAGGTACTGCTCAGATCCATACATAACCAAGCTGTGCACTGGGCTGGGTAACACACAATGAGGTGGGTTTGCTTTATAAATAAAACACCGCCGCAGCTTTTCAGAGGGTCACAGTGCACATGGCAAAGAGTTGGTCAGGTACTGTACTGGACAGTCAACTATTGCTTTGATTGGGTGTCTCCGATTCATACTGATGAAATCCATTTTGATGTCCCACTTACCTCCTTTATATTGATCATATACTGAGCTGGAGGAGGGGATTCTGGGAGAGTCAAGCCACTGTTGGTGTATATATGTGTGTTTTACAACATACAACATATATACACCACATATTCACACTTGACAAAGACAAACGCATAAAAAATTGATCTGCATAATCATTCAGAGGAGTACCCTAAACTGTGCAAATGTAGCAATTTGACTGTGGTACTCTCTTTGTCCTCAGGAATGGGCGCTGACCAAGGACAAGTCAGTAAAGCACATGGACCTCTGTCTGACGGTGGTGGACCGCACCGCAGGCTCACAAATCAAACTGCAGGGCTGCAGGGAAAATGACAGCAGACAGGTGAGCGAGGCGCACACCGAGTCATGCACCATGGATCAGATCGATCAAAAAGCACTAGTAGTAAATGAAAGTGACTGACTGCAGTTAGCATGGTAATATAACATTAATTTTGTTTTGCCATGGAATGTGGATTATGATGCTTTTTTGGATATACACTATAGATAATGCACCATAAACTCACTATCAATGGAAACCATTAGTGATTATAGTACTCACAGTACATACAAACCTGACACTGATTTGTACACCCTTGTTTCCCCCATGTCCCAACTCTCCTCGCTGTCCCCACCTCGTGTGTCGCCAGAAATGGGAGCAGATCGAGAGCAACTCTAAGTTGCGGCACGTGGGTAGCAACCTGTGCCTGGACAGCCGCAGTGCACGCACTGGGGGGCTGACAGTGGAGGTGTGCAGCCCCAACCTCAACCAGCAGTGGAAGTTCACTCTCAACCTCCAGCTCTAGAGAGAGAGACAAACAGACAGAGACCGACAGAGAGAGTCCCCACCAACACCACCTCCCCCACCACCACCTCCTGCTCTCCTCCCCGGAGCCACATAGACTAGAGCCACCCAGCACCAACTACGGACAGACGGACAGACTGAGGCCCCCGGAGGGGCCACAACACACAGAGGGAAGAAGGATATGAAATTACAGACCACCAAGTGGGATGATGATAATGCTTTCCATCCAACTATATACCTCAGTGTTTCATCTTTAGTCCTGCTCTTTGGAAAGTGAATTAGTTATTTTTCTTAATGCAGGTGAAATGGAATGAACTTTCTGGATGTTTTTCTTTTTTACATTGTTCGTTTAAATTTTTTCTCTCTTTCCACTGAAGTTCACTGCGTTTCTGAAATGGATGTGACTATTATTTTGTTGTCCTTTTTCTCTCTCAAGTAATCTATCTTTGTTGACTGTAAAAGACGTATTCCATAGAGGTTCCCTGACTAGACCGAAACGGCCCAGGAAGAAAGCTGATGGTTTTGGTATGGTTCCAGTTGGGTTTGGCCCCTTAAAAGTCCTGCTGGTAGAAGGGAAAGGACTCTACGCACTGTTCCTTTCGTTCACTGAAACGCTTCACTCCTGATTGGTGGGCTGTTCTGACGGAGTGAGCGGTAAAGAGATGGCGAAAACAAAATCAGTTTTTTTTTTCCTTCTACAATTTATACCACATTTTCATTCTGCTCCTGTCACACGTGTTGTAAAAAGGTGCGTCGTCCGATCAGAAGGGTGTTCTTCACGGGTCTCTCATGGATACTTGTGGGGCCAGGAGTTGTCGAGGGTGTGGATATTTCACTGCTGGGTCATCACAGATTGTAGCACTTGCTGCTACGGCTCTTCAGTCTTTGTCCCGTTTGTCCATCACAATTGAATGGAAAACATACAAAATAAATCTATATTTCAGTCATGTATTTTTTTTCTTTGCAAAAGCATTACAGTGTCCAAGTTTATTGATTTATTTTATTTCTAACAGACATTTAATTATTTGTGTTCAATTATACTGTAGAATAATCAACTGAGTTATACAGTAAATTGAACTGATTTCTTTATACTCTTGTTGCTTTCTGACTGTGCTCGTGAGTAAAAACGTATCTACTTACTGTATAGATTTTTTTCCTTTTCGGTGTCGGTGTTACCATAGTAACTACCCTGTCATAACCTCATACAAATTATTATTGGTGAAGAGTTTATTACAGGATAATATTGGAACCATAATTTCCATTCTCAGAAGTTCTACAAGTGTTCTTGAAATGTTGTCTCACACACAGTGTATGTATACATTGGAGTCCTTATTGTCAATATTTGTGATTTGCCATTTTAGAAAATTACACTTCATCTGAGGTAAGCGACAAAGACAGCATTTACATGGGAGGGCCTTGTGTTGCATGTTGTACCAATACTTGAGCGTCTTTATTTTTTTCCATCTTCTTTTTCTGTCCTTTTGTTTTTCTTAACATTGCACGCATGCTTTGTGAATGATGTCTTTGCCTTTTTTGATATCCATCATACTGTAAAGGAGAATGTGTTTTTGTGTGCGCTAGTGAACAGGTTTCTTGAAGGAGGGCAGGTCATTCGGCAATCGTTAACTAGACTCACAAGGGAGAAAAGCAATACGATTTTCTTATTTCAGTATCATTGTTGTGCATTTAGCTCACATCTGCTTTGGGTATATTCTGATTGGGTTAATACATGTAGCTTGTGATATGTGGTACTTTAAACGTTGCTGTTTGTTTCTGAGGGGCAGCAGAACCCACCGTTAATGTGATGGCCAAAGGAGCCTATAATGACTTATGAAAGCTAAGATTCATCCATTGACATGACATTGTTTTTGTCTCGGTTGGGATGCCCCCGATTTCAATAGAGATTAATTTATTATAGAATAGCAAATTACTAATTATTCAGTAATATTTGCTGTCTGTATTTTGAGCCCTCATTATATATGCATATATCCCTTTGTGTTCTACACCATTCTGGTCAAACTTCCGTATACATAGGATACCATCAGTATAGAAACAAGCATCACAACATCAAAACAGATGCAGCAGCTCCCATCTCTAACTTGTGTGGAGGTATTGCATTTCAAAAATGCCAAAGAGATGAGGTATCCCACAGTAAGAGATGTGGAGCAGGGGATAGAGGTAACATCCCATACTTTACCTGCAGTATCTGCAGTTCAGAATGTGAGATCTGTGCGTGAGCAGGACTATGGGATCAAGAGGAGAATTGGATGTTTTAACCTCCCATGTGAGAGAGGTTAGTAGGATTATGACAAGTTGCAAATGGTAAGAGCTCTGTCTGCCATCACGTCACTGTTGAAATTGTAACAATTTCGGAGTTCATGTCAATTGTACCAATTCAAATGTGAAAGTTCAGATGGTTAGAGGGAGGCCTACAGTACTAAATGGAATTGCTTGTGTGAACATTGTCTACATACATGGTGGCAACAGTTGTTCAAGTATTGAATAAAGCCTTTTTAGTAAGATGTGTGAAAATGAAGTTTGCTGTTCACTTTAGGATATACGGAGATAAAATCATGCTAGAATTACAGCCACATTTTAATTGGATGAAACGTTTACATAGCACAATGTGCCAAAGTTATTTACTTATTTGATTTGCATTGTCAATACAATTGGTGATTCAAGTTTAGGAGAGGAACGTGCATTGTCAATATGTGGACATTGACTAAATGATTACTGATAATAAACCAAATTATTGATCACAAGAACATTTTGAATTTGGGATATCGAATACGGATTGTTCCTCTAACTATCTTTTGCTGTAGGAAAATGGGGTTAATTACAATTCAGATCAGTGGCAAGGGAGGAGGCAGCATGGGGGTAACATTTAAAAGTGTATATCTTTGTATATATAGTACGTTTGTCTATGTACATATATACACATACTGTAAGCAACAGCAGTTACTAGTGAGTTGATCTACTGTACAGCGTCATTCTTCATTGTTTTATAGTTATGGCAAAAATTCAACTTTGAGGAAAAAATGATTAACTTAAATAAATGCATTTATATATAAAAGAGGTGTGGACTTTCTTTGCATTCTTTGAAGACTCTTAAGTAGCAATGAGAACTAATAAAGCTTTAGGAGCCAAAGTTTTGTTAATTTTGTTGGATTTTAATGACGACTGTAACTAAACAATTCAGTCAGTTTTCCTGGCCTGCTTGCTCTCATTGCTATGCAGAGTAATTATCTGGGGGAAAAGAGGCCAGTATTCTCATGGAACAGAAATAGCCTCTAACAAAGAGATCCAGTGTCTGATTTCCAGTCTGCACATTCTGGACAGCATACTTGTTAAGTCTTTTGTGTGTGTGTGTGTGTGTGTGTGTGTGTGCACAAGCACACACACACACACCTCTCTCTTTCTATCTCTCCCTCGTGTGTGTGTGTGTGTGTGTGTGTAAAATAATGCCACTGTTAATGGATATGTTTCGATTTAAGTGCAACGGGAGCTACAGTATAGATCAAATGGTTGTGTGTAAGTATGGAATAAAGGTCCAGCTCCTTGCATGTACACGGCCAGTGGGAACTAAAGGGTTTGTACTTACGAATGTGTAATGCTCATCACATCCCAGGGTAATGTAACAGACATTAAGGCTGCTGGGTCATCAACCAAAGATGAGCAGCTCTACTAAACAGACCATCTGTCACCCACTACTACCTACAGCACATTAAACATATTTTGAGACTAGACATGCACCATACTCCTAGCCTACAGGGGGTGCTAGCGTGATATGCCCATATTGGTCACACTATCTAAAGTATAATTTATAAGGTTTATAATGTTAAGAAAGCCTTCGTAAACCTTTACAAGGCCTACATAAACTCTTGACACTGGTGGTGTATAAAATCATGAACATTTATTAGATGTGTGCAACATGGTGTAAACTCTCATCAACAGAGGTGGTATACGTACGATTCACAAAGTCCATCAGGATGGTGTACTGTTAACATGAAGATCAGATAGAGGGAAGGTTTACAATAGGCTACATACACACTCAATGAGGAGAAATAACAAACACGCACTATACAGCAATCACTTTTCCTCCACCGATGAAAGACACAGACAGGACAAGAAGCAGTTCCTACAACAACATTCCCAGAGCAGTCATACGTTGCAGTTTATGTATAGTTTTTTTTTATATTAAATTCGTATAGAATTAATCCGATACATTAGGAAGTTTGGTCCAGTTTACATGAGCTATTTACATATTACTAGTACAATGTCAAATGCACCATTCTGGAACTAGATTTCATTTTACCAACTACCCTTATTATTAGTATTGACAACTTTACTACTGACCATTGATTGAGCACATTATGATATTAAATATTTCGAACTATTTCAATATTATCTATTATCATTCTTTACAGTATTTTGATAGCACCTTATCAGGTTATTGTATTTATTTTGTATTTTTAATTAATCTTTGAATATCAAATAATGAAGCCCTGAGGTCAGAAAAGTTCATTTCCATACATTTTTAGATCCCAGCTTTAGACTTTCAATTGCCACTGTGCACGATAGGCCTACAGAAAGATATATTTCATTACACTGTAGTCCACTTTAACATCTTGTAATCTCTCACTGCGTTTTAGTATGGCAATTATTAATAAATGGTGTCCAAAATTACAATATTACATATTAAAATGTATTTCAGCAGTCTTGATCACTAATGCAGAGTGGAGGCTGAATTGAATGAAAAACATTCACAAAATGTGTTTGTTTTTTGCTAACTATAAAGGACTCAATGGGCATTGGGGCTGCCTGACTAGCCAGCTTGTTTGCATGCAGTCTCGGTTTGTCCATTAACAGCTAGGGGTGGAGGCGGGTGCACGAGTGGTACCGCAGTATTGGAGCTGCACTCAATATGCTTTATGGGTCTGAAAACAGCAGTAAATACCAGAAGGAAAGAATATGGTGTGTGGCAATAGACTGAGTGGGCTGTCAATCAACTGACCTCATTAATTTTACAGAGGAATGGTAAATGAACATTGTCTCTCAGAAGCTAGGGAATTACAGTGACATCAGATTGACACAAAGACATTTCAGGCAATGAGAAATGGCCAATGATGATAATAATTGGATATGGCTTGGCTTGGTTATCTATTGATATAGTTTATGTCTGTTGTCTTTTCTAATAGGCTGCTTTTAAGAACCAATTATTGTAAGGGTTGAACAATAAACCTAATAATCTAATCCTAGAGTGAGAAAATAATATGAATTTCGTGAACACAGACGCACTATACAGATGGTAAACTGTCATTTATTTTATCTATCTTGAATAAATGATAAATTTAGATATTCTCTGCAAAAGTCATCTGAAGTTGCCACATGATACTGGCATCAAATGCCTGGTAAGACAAAAGGAGATGTTCTATGTAAAAGGCACTGAGAATATATCTAATACATGGCTGAGCAATAAAATAAAATACAACTTTTGTCATATTTTATCTTACTGTAAATTGTAGATAAGATCACACAATTTCAACCTGAGAATTGAAACTCTTTAAAACAGTTTTGATTAAAACTGAACACAGAGTGATCTACCTTACCTCTACTGAAATATAGAACATACTCTGTGTCAACAGGAAGTTGTACATTTTCAAGAGATGGAAAAATAACTTTCCCCCAAAACCTTTCATACAGAACTTTGTATACCTGTGATTATAATTGGTTCATGAATCACTCAGAGTAGCAATAACGGATCACCACACATGAGAGTAATCTGCCATGGTGCCATGGTGGTATTAATAACATTAAATATGGCCTAATAGACTTAGTAACACTACACTTACAGAACATTTTAGAGCACATCCAAGGACTTGAGGACTAATTAAGATATACCGCAAACAGACAATAATTTAAAGATATTGTATATTTGATTTTGAAGTATTTACTTTGAAAAGTTGTTGACTGTATCATGCATACTTCTTGGTGTCTATCAATATAACAATTCAGAACAAAATAGCATTGTTATGAGCAACATTAACATACTTATGGCATGTCAGAGAATCTTTCAGACAGTGATCAGTGCACAGAACTAGTGATCTCACACAAACATACACAAGAATGACAATGTTTTTTGGGGAAAGATAAAAGGTGAAAAATCACAATCATGTGTCTTACCTATAAGTGAAGACTCTGATAGAACTATAATCATATATACAGTACCTTCTAATCTGTACACAAAAACAAAACAAATGTGCCTCAATAGCCTATGCACATGATATATTTAGGTAAATATTCATAACGCTTTTAGAATA